AGTTTCCAAAATTGTAACTCTTTATGGGAGTAGAAAGCCTGTCTTTTGCCTCAGAGCCGCTACTGGTTTTAAACTGCTGACCTCATAGTTAGCAGCCCAACACATAAACACTATGCTACCAGGGCTCCTCAAACTATATACAATATAGATAAATTTTATTAGTATTTATTACCAGCACTAATTTTTCAGATTATGCTTTTACTTTTTCCAATAGTTTTATTAGCATATAATTCACATACCATGCAATTCAATAGTTCAACCACATCGAGATGAGTTGTGCAATCATCACCACAATCAGTTTTAGAACATTTTCTTCATTCTTGTATTCATCCTTACTAGCTCCCCATTCCCCTGGCCCCAATCCCTCCTGCCATACCTTCAAGGAACCATTAATCTACTTACTGTCTCTGTAGATTTATAGGTGTATGCTTTCAAAGATCATTAGTTATTAAGCTCAAATTCTGTACATCACTATCAGATGAAGCCTGTTAATAGTGTAGGACAGGCTGAGTGCCATTTTAAAACAACCAATACAAGTCAAGTATGGCCAGTGAGTATTTAAAGTGTTAACGCCACTTTACAATCTTGTTTCATGTTATTGAGTTGATTCCAACTTATAGTGAGCTTAAAGGAGAGAGTAGGCCTTCCTTGCAGGGTTTCCTAGGCTGTAATCTTTATGGGAGCAGACTGAAAGGACTTTTCTCCCTCTGAGCCCCTGTGGTTAGCCCTGAGCACCTAACCACTGTGACACCAAGACTCCTTTTGTTTCTAATTCTAACTACCGCTTATTTAATGCCAACCAAATCCTAGCCACTAGGGCAGTTCCTCCATTCATCCCAGCACATTCTCAGGTTGACTCTTTCAGCAAGTTTACAAATAAGAAAAGCAAACCTCAGCTTTTGTGCATGGTAGAGCCAGGATCTGAACCACGGTCTGATACGAATTCTTCATTATACCACACTTCTTTCTCGATTAGGAGTCTATGTAACTGCTGCTGAATAGAGTGGATTAAGCATTGGATTATTAAGCACAAGGTCAGCAGTTCAAATCCATCAGCCACTCCAGGAGCGATGAGGCTTTCTGCTCCCCTAAGATTTACAACCTCAAAACCCTCAACAGCAGCCCTACTCCACCCTACTGGTTCACGATGAGTTGGAATTGACTCATTGACAGCAGTGATTGCTTTGGTTTTGTTCTGCTCTGTTCTTTGTGGGAGAGGGGTATTTCCTAAATAAACTAAAGTAAAGAATAAATGAAATAAAGTTAAGTGGCATAATTATATCTAGCTATGCTAGTGAGGAATACACTAACCTATCTGGAGATGCCTGGCCATTTACAGAGAGCTCCAGCATGACCTAGGGAACTAAGACTGACGTCAAAGATGCACGTGACTCTTCCAACAGCTCTAACTTTGTAGAGAACATACAGAAAGGATACAGGACAAAGACTAACTGGATTCTATCCAAACTCTGCACACGTAAAATGTGCCGTCTCTTAGCCTTTCTGGGCCTCATTCTCTTCATCTTGAAATAAGACTGGGACTAAGATCACTCCCTGCTCTAAATCCCTTTGATTAAAAAGTGTCTGCTGCAATTAAAGGGAAAGGATTCCTAGTAAATTTTCTGGAAAACAATAGGCAGAACAAAGCAATATAGAAAAATAATGTCCTGCTTAGCAATTTTTCTATAGTTACAAGGAAAACATCTATCCACCTATTTCTAGATCACAAGTAGAATCAGGTTACATATACAAACTACTTCAGAGGAGAAAAGAATAAAAATCATCCTATATGAACTCACTGCCATCAACTCAATGCTGACTCACACTGATCCTATAAGACAGGGTAAAAATGCTCTCTTTGAGATTCCAAGACTCTCATAATTGTTTATGAGAGAAGACAGCCCTACCTTCCTCTGGAGGAGGGGCTGGTGATTTCCCACTGCTGATCTTGCAAATTGCAGCCCAATGCGTAACCACTACACGACAAGGGCTCCTATGTGACAAGGGCTTTGCAGGATGTTAGTAGGCATTCCATGGGGGGCAGGGAGAGGGTGGTGTATGATGGGCAAAGGGAAGTTCACTGGACCAAATTAATTTGGAAAATGCTAGGTAAAAGTTAATACTTGTGTCTTCACTGCAAAGCTTTAATATCCTCCTGTGTGGTGTATAACACTAAGAGGAAGACATAACACACAAAATGTTCCAAATTCCTTTTTCCAAACACTTTATAAGAAAGTACCTATTAATAGTTTCCATTCTTAGAGCTGCAGGAAATAAAATTGATTATTAGAGATAGAGGTTTAAGAGCCAGCCTACACTGTGCTTTAAGCATCAAGGGGGCTTCAATAAGTCCACATGATAGAAGTACACCAGCCTGTGTGATCCAAGGATTGCAAATAATAAAACCCAAATCCTAAGAGGGAATAGTAATAGAGCTTAAATTGTGAATGTCAGGTTTGTAAAAGGCTATTGATGACAGTAGAAGCCCAAAATCCATTTGCAGAGTCCCCAAATGGATTAAGTCTCTGGCCATAGTCAAGAGAAATGAAAAGCCTTGTGATCATACAGAGAGCATTGTAAAGTCAATTATGGCAGATATAGTTAGGTTAAAATTGAATACCCTATCATTTGAACTCCCATTTGACCTATTTTAAAGTTGGTTCAGTTTTTAATATGTTCTACTTTCTCTTTAATTGATATTCTTCTATGTTTTGTCTAGTTGTTGCTGCTCGGTTTTTTGTTTGCTTGCTTGCTCGCTTGCTTTGTATGATTATATTTTGTTTACTATGATTCTCTGTACATGAAATCCAAGATAGGGAGATCTATAGAGACATACCTAGATAGAGTATGGCAGGGGAGGATGGGGAGCTAACAACAATGGGTAGGAGAAGAAAATGTCCTGAAATTGATTGTGGTGATGATTGCACAACTCTTCTCAATATGATTGAGTGATTTAATTGTGAAGTAAATGCCAATAAAACTTTTTTAAAATAAAATAAAAACTCTCAGGAATGTTTTTTTAAGAATCAGGGATACTGACCCGAGCCTACGGCTGAAACGGCCCCGTGTGAGAAGAATCAGATGACCAGTCCAAGGTGGAAGTCATTGAACTGTGATTCAAAATTCTTGCCTTGAGCATGCCCAATAAGAGCTAACTCAAGACTACCATATAGGTGCTATTTTCATATTTTCTTTGCCTTTTTTATGGCTTGTTTAATTGGTCCAGTTTGCCTTTATGAATCAGCATAAAGTTTTGAAAGTTTTGGCCTATCTCCAACTCGCACTGTTTGTCCAAATAATGTCCAGTTCCCTAAATTGTTAATCTGTACAAATCTATAATCCATGTATTTTGCTTATAGTCTCTGAAACCCCCAGGGGCAATTCTACCCTGTCCTATAGGGTCACTATGAGTCAGAATAGAATCAATGGCAGAGTTTGTGTTTATACATGTACACTTTCTTTGTCTTGACAATGTTTTAAATTCTATATCATTGGCTAAATTAAGAGTAATATCAATAAAACTACTGTATGTCCCCTGAGGGTAATTTATAATATTCTTCAACAATATAATGATGTCTTTAACCACGGGTATATAAATCATAGATATATGAATGGATTTTGAGCTCACACTTAATCATAACCCTCATCTGTGAACAATGAGTTCTTATGGCATGGCCCTATTCAACGTCCCCCATAAAGAGATCACTGGCGCTATGGGTGATACAGCAAAGTGTAGTGAGGAAAGGAGATGACACTTGGGTATCAGAAAGAACGCTGAAAGGGGCCTTAAAGGCTTGTCTTAAAACAAGTAGGTTAACGTATAGAGACAACAACTGGATTAATAGATTTAAAGGGACATGGCAGGAGAGACTGGTGGAAAGTGGGGAGCTAACAACAAGTACACATTAGAAGAAATGGTCTGGAATTGATTGTGGTGATGGTTGCACAACTCTTATGAACGTGATTGAACAATATGATATGTGAACTCTATATCGGTGAAACTTAAAAATAAACTAATTTACGAAAGGGTTCAGGGAAACATAGAGGTTACACTCTATCAAAAAAGACAACAGTTCTTGACAAAGAATAGATGTATGTATGGATTGTGATAAGAGTTGTATGAACCCCCAATAAAATGATTTTTTTAAAAGACAAGTTTATTATATTTTTCACCTTATTTTCCTCTTTTAATTAATAGTGCTATTGGTGAACCTTTATAAAGTAATGATAAAAACATATTTTTAAATGTTCTGAATAGGAAATAGTTCTACTATTTAAGTATTATTGCAATTTGTAGTAATGAAATACAAAAATGAATACAAAAACAAGTAAACAGATTTAAATGAAATCGTCATATCTAATAATAATAGTCAATGAATGGTGAAAGAGGGAAACACAAAATGTCAACAGTAAATTCTAGCACAGTACCTTTGATCTGTTCGCCCGGTGTGAACGTTTTCTGATTCACTGAAATCTGGTGAACAGCCTTAGATTGTGGGCTGTGGGCATGTTCCGGAACCATTCCCTGGCACGACTTTGCCACTTTTCCATTGGGATAATTAGCCACAGAACTCAAGTGCACCAGAAGTAGGAGGACCTCCAGGGTAAACGCAGGGCCTGCCATCTTAAAGGGAGGATGAAGAGCAGATTAGTTTCCAATGTCATTAAAATAAAATACAAACATGTTCATAGCACCAGACAGTAATTCTAGATAGACAGCCACTTGCTGTCAATTTTCAGCCAACTCTATGCCCAAAATCTGTCCAATAGAACATGGTATGTGCAGTCTGACCCGTTTGAATCAGCTTTACCATTTCCCACATGTGACACTTTGGGCAAACCAATTAAACCTCCATAGTCTGAAAAATGGAGAAGCTGCAATCCTTATTTCCATGTTGTTTTAATAAACTATGAATACAGCTCGAACTCTGAAAAGGAATGCAATGTTAATTTCCATTAGTTTCATTGGGCAATTCCAAACTAGCCCGTAAAGGAAAATAGTTTGAAAGAAAGGTCTAAAAATCGACTTCTGAAATTAGCCAGTAAAAAGACCTCTAGATCCCACAGCAGTGCCCTATGATACAGAGCTGGTGCAGGAGGCCCCAGGGCTGGAAGGACCGCACAATGAACCAAGCTGCTCATCAGTATGAAGAAAGTACAAGACAGCACGATGTCTTGTTTGCATGTACGTGGTCCCCGTGAGTCGGGACAAAACCATGGCAAACAACAACAACTACTCCAATTGAATTTTCAATGAACTGTATTGAAGTATAATTTACTATGTATAACAAAATACATCTGTTTTATTTTCTTAAGACAAAAAGTTTTACTCTACTGACTTAGATAGGTAGGATCAAGTGTTATAAAACCTTTTGCCTTTTTTAAAACCATTTGCTTCTTAAAACAATTTTTCATCTGAAAGCAGAGATCCTAATAGGAGTCTAATACCATATGTGTTTATTTACCTATATATTACTTTGACATAACAATTAAAAAGCTAACACTCAACCATAACCTGAGCAGAGATCTGAATGGATATTTCACCAAAAAGAACATGCTATGGCCACCCAACAAAAAATAGCCCACCTACTAATGGGGAGCTAACAGTGAACACAAGAAAGGAAAACATTCTAAAATTTATTGTGATAACAACTATGCAGCTTTTTTAATATGATCGAACTATTGAATTAATATATGAATTATTTATCAATAAAACTGTTTTCTTTCTTTTAAAGAAACACCATATCTACTGGCATCAAGTCAGTTCCAACTCAAAGCAAGCATATGGGTCAGAATAGAACTATTTCATAGGATTCCCAAAGTTGTAAATTATTACAGAATCAGACTGCCTCATAGTTCTCCCAAAGCAGCCAGGGAATTCAAACAGCTGACTTTCTACTTAAGTGTGCTTAAGCCACTGCTCCACCAGTGCTCCTTAAATGGCCACCAAATACCTGAAGAAGTAGGCAACTACATTGGGGTGGAAGTCAAGAGAAACTGATATCTAAGGGCTCAAGTAGAAAGAAAATGGTTTGAAAATGATAATGGCAACATTTGTGCAAGTTCGCGCAATATAATTGATTTATGGATTGCTGTAACAACTGTAAGAGTCCCCGATAAAGTGATTAAAAAATAATAAAATAAAGTACCAAATAAGGCAAATGAGGTTTTGGAATAGAATTGTTTTTCCTTTTTTGTTGTTTTCTTTCAGAATACATACAAAAACATATCCATTATCTTTTGATGGTCTATACCAGGGGTCCTCAAACTTTTTAAACAGGGGGCCAGTTCACTGTTCCTCAGACCCGTTGGAGGGCTGGACTATAGTTTTAAAAAAACTATGAACAAATTCCTATGCACACTGCACATATCTTATTTTGAAGTAAAAAAACAAATGGGAAAAAACACCCAGTGGGACAGGGCAAGATATGACAAAATAATAATTTATAAAGTATCAAGGGCTCATGAGGGAGGTGGAAGCAGGGAGGGAGGGGAAAAAATGAGGAGCTGATGCCAGGGGCTTAGGTGGAGAGCAAATGGTTTGAAAATCATGAGGGCAATGAATGTACAAATGTGCATTATACAATTGATGTGTGTATGGATTATAATAAGAGTTGTATGAGCCCCTAATAAAGTCATTAAAAATAATAATTTAGCGCATGTTAAAGTGAAGTAAAAGATCGGGGGAGGGAGATATCAAATATTAAGAGAAGTATTTAGTGCATGAAATTGAAAAAATTATGTTATTTAAAGAAAACAAAAACTGATCCACATCACTTCATATTGCATAGTAAATCCCAGTTTGATTAAAGATGTAAATGCAAAAAGAAAATCAAGCCATTCAATAATAAATAGTATATTAATAATATATTATATAAATATCTAAGTGTATTCAAGAAATATAGGTGACTATTTCTGTAACTATTGAAAAGGGAAGGATTTTCTCATTTTAATAACAATACAGAAATCACCCAAAAAGTTATAAGTTTTATTACCAGGACCCTTCCCAGTGGGGTGGGTAAAGCATTGCACTGCTAACTGAGAAGTCAGCGGTTCCAATCCAATAACCACTCCACAGGAGACAGAAGAGGCAGTCAGCGTCTATAAATGCTTGCAGCCTCCGAAGATCAATGGAGCCATTCTACTCTGGCCTTGAGGGTCCCTCTGAGTTGGAAATGACTCAACAGCAGGGGATAAATTCAATTACATAGAAATGTTTCTATATGTATGCTTTAAAAAAAGATCTCCATATATCTGAAATATTACATACACTTTCACCCACAGACGTGACTAGCCCAGCCACAAAATTAGACCCACAGATTACAAATACACATTAGCAAGAAATGCTCAACTCAATGTGACACCAGAGTTTCACTAAACAAATTAGTCACGTTATTACTTCAAAATAAAGTTCACTGAGTCTCCTGCTGACTTAAAAAACAATAAGCCATGTCACAAGGTTCATTTGATGATAAAATGAAGCAATGTAGGCTAAAGCTTTTTAAGTATATTGTGCTATTAGGATTCGGTCCTTTTCCCAAACTTCCAAGCAAAATTTGCTAACTCTTCAGACAGTGCTGCCATTGGACCTAAACAAGAGGGGTCTTTACAGGGCCCCCACTCCGGCCACACCATCACTAGGTCATGGGACGTGCCCACGTGCTTCCAGACTAGTGTTTCTCAAAGGCATCAATACTGACCCCTAGGAATGGTGGATCGATCCAGGGGGAGTCTACAAAATCAGATACCTATGATTATGCGCAATAGTATAAAATTTTTTAATTGCCAGGGAAACACTGATGATGATGATGATGATGATGATGATGATGATGATTCTGCAGAGGGGGGCAGTAGGCCTGAAACATTTAAGAACCTATATTGTAGATGATACTTCAGTTTTCCACACAGATTTCCCTGCCCAATCACTTCATCCAACACAACACACAACCCCTTATTAAATCAGTCTTTCAGCATAGCCCTCCGAGCAGTATGAGAATTGTTCATTCAAATCCGGCTTCCAGATCCTTTGTCAGATCAGACTTGCTTTCAGGACAAGTTCTATTGGAGAGGATCAAGGCCATAGTTCTCACCAGCTGATCTTGGCCAGATAATTATATAGCTCAAAGGCAGTTAGTGCCGCACACGTGGTTGAGTGGGCAATTCATTCAGTTGAACAAATATTTATTTGTCATTGACTTCCTGCCATGTGAAAGTGGAAGCGCCATTTCTAGTCCTTGCTATCTACTAAGTAGTGTCAGCCATCATTGAAGTGTTCCTTTCTTCATTTACAAGATATAGCAGATACACCAGGAGAAATTCAAAAACACCTTCAACTCTAAAATGTTACTCTGATCAGAGCAAAGTAGAGAACTTACTGGGAATTTCTAGAGCAAGAAGCACAAGATGGGAAAGAGAAGTGACTAAGACGCAGCCACCACCTCTTGCTCATTAGGAAAATTAACAAGGGCGGAGAGGGAAGTGGTGTTCGCTGCCGCCCATCACCATCACGTCTGTTCTAAGTCATCGCGATCCCACACACAACGGAATGAAACACGGCCTGTCTGAGCCACAGCTATTCAAGCGCTGAGTCTACTCAAGAAAAGTCTCCGTGGCGATGTCGAGATTTCTCTCACAGAACTTAAGCTCCAGAGAAAACTGATATGAAAACAACTAATTCAGTGTCTGAAAATGGTAAGCTTCCAATAAATGATAAATTGTTATTAATCATCACCACCATTACTTTTCCATATCACCAGGATGTGTTCACTTTTTTTTCTGAAAACCTCTAAGGTCGGACAACACACATGTTCGCATAGTTCTCGCATCTGCCCTGCATTCAGTTTGCTCAAGACTCGGCGCAGCCTCTTCCAGAAGGTGCAGTCCTCTTCTCTCCAGCAATTGAACTTCACCTTCGGAGAAGCCTTCCACATCAAGAAGCAATTTGACTTTGAGAGCTGAATCTCAAATTTCAAGAACACGGATACATAGGTCAAGTATTTCTACATCCCCAGACAAAACAAAAATGTTTCAGACTTCATTTTCCCAGCAGGCGGCACAGAGGAATACAATCTGTTTTCTAAATTACCAAATACAGTTGGGGCATTTAGAAGAGGCTCTAAAAAACACAGGGCATGAAAAATGGCACATGGAATACCAAGTTGGGATCTGTCAGATCTGACAAATTATTAGATGGTTTAAGGCTTTTCCAAAAAGATTTTAGTACTTCAGTGAAAGCAAGAGAAAGGTGGAGAAAACCACTCAATTGAAAAACTAATTTGGAACTCTATATTCTGACTCTGGTTCTCCTAATCACAGCATCATGGGCAAGTACGTTTTCTATTTTCTTCATTCATTACCTGGAAAAAATGATTAGGGGCGAGTATCCCTTTACATGCTAGAGAGCTTTCATCCGGATCACAAGGCCCTCACAATGACCCAGGACTGAAAAAAGAAG